TCTTAACAGTTGAAAGTTTTTTCTGTTGTTCATTTACTAATTTACTAGGTCAAAGAAGAGTTCCGTCGTATCACAACGGTTTCCCTGGAAGACACGTTCATGCGGAAACTTGATGCTTACACACCGCGTCTCCTGCAGCTGATGCATGCCAAAGGAGGAACTGTTGGTTCCAGGATGCGTCCCCTTCTGGACACTGTTCCAAGATTGCCAAGTATGTTTTTAAATTTTAAGTTCTCTCCTCTTTCTCCTCTCATCTTGTATCTGTCTGCTCATTATCTTTCTCTTCTTTCATCTCCTCTTTCTCCTCTATTCATTCTTTCTTCCCTCCTTTCCTTTTATTATCACTTATTTCTCCTCCTTATTTTTCTCCTTTCCCATTATTTTCCTTTTCCTTGCCCCTTATTAACCCTTATCGTTAAACACTGATTTTAACCAGTTTTTTAAATACTTGTTTAATAATTTGATGAATCAAACTAAATTGCTGATTAAAAATCAGCTTGTGTAAAAATGTATTCCTTGACCAATTGAAATGTATTGGAATGTCATCTTTTTATTATCTGTAGATTAAAATGTATGTGCTTTATCTGTTTTTATCTAGTATGATGAACTGGAGGGCCCCATGGATCAAGCCATGAAGGTGCTTGTTGTCCACAATCCCATGGCTGATCACAATCCAGCAGAAGTGAGAATTGTGATCGAGGGTAACCAAGTGCTGAGCAGGTGTGGAAACCGAACCCGTGCATGCATGCTGTTGATGGGATTAATCTATGCCCTCAACCTAGAGTATCCCAAGATGCTAAAGAACACCTTTGAAGTATTCCAAAAACTTTTGCTAGAGCTTGATGGAGCAAAGATACTCAAAAAGGTCCAAACCCTTAAAAACAAACTAATGGAGTGAACCGTTTGCATACTGTGGAAAAAAAGTCTGAATTTTGTTTTTATAAAACATTTTTTGATTTTTATATTTTACATTTAATTTACATTTATATTTTTATTTTATTTTTGACTATTTTTGAGTACTTTAACTTTAATGTCATGTTGATGATATGAATAGATCATATTGTGACAGTGTTTTGTGATCCAGTTGTGCAGAGCTTTGCACATTGTTCTTGTTATTGATCTATAATTGGATATGCACTTTTGAAGCCATTGACATCCTATACAATTGTATGTCCTATAGCAATGGGATAATAGTTGATCAGAAACATTTGTTCTTAATGAAACAGAAGTTCTTAATGACCTCAACAACACAAAATTGCACAGTATTGTTCAAGAAACTGCCACACTGAAGTTGTTAGCCTCATCTTATTGCCTTCCCTCTCACCTCTTTGTGCAATGGTTTATGAAGGGACAGTTTTTTTTACAAAGTCAAATGTATATTTGTCTTCTACCTGGTGTTCAAAGCAACAGCCAAGCATTAATTGACTTCCCTCTCACCTCTTTGAGCAATGGTTTATGAAGGGACAGTTTTTTCCAAAGTCAAATGTATATTTGTCTTCTGCCTGGTGCTCAAAGTAGCATCCAAGCATTAAAAACGGTTGTATCTTTGTATAAAAAAATGCATTTTTAGATACCTCAAGTGAGTCAGGTGTTCAGAGATGAGGGCTGTGAGTGTGGAGATGAAATGTTCTGCATTTTAAGTGTTAGGATTTTAGTAAAGAACATGTTTTAATGAAGTTTATCTCAGCATTGTCTTCTGTCTGTTAAATGTCTTGAACCTCTTCTGAATAATGGTTAAAGGTGTTGATTTATTATTATTATTATGTACTTTGGTAAATTGCCTGCTAAAATAATATTATTAATATATTTTTAGTTAATTAGTTTGTTTATTAGCTTTTGAGTTTAGGTATTCTTTAACTAAAAAATGGGGTTAAAATTCACCTTAAAAATGGGGCTAAAAATTTTCCCACAGAAGGGGATAAAATTTACCCCAACTATAGGGATAACATTTACCCCAAAGATGGGGATAAAATGTACCTGAAAAAATTTAATGTAAATTGTTACCTCATTTTTTGGGTAATTTCTATAGGTTGTTTTTTTACAGTGTAAGCATTATATTGTGTGAACCACCACATTGTACATCTTATCGTGTATAGATTACTGAATATGATAATACTAGCACAATGGCTACAGCTCTGCCTGCTAAGTAGAGCTAGCTAGCTGGCAGGTTAAAGGCTCATCACATCTCTGAAAACAGTGGTGGAAGTTTCTAAATTTGCATTACTTGGATAGACCGACCACATATTCGAAAACTAGATGGTTACTTTCTCACCTAAAAATTTAATGAACTTTAACAATCCTAGGGTGACAAATACAACAGTTTTGACCCTGCCCTGCCACCACTGTGGGATGATGGGATAGCATAGTGTCCACTGCTTCCATACTACAAAGTTATGTAGATCATCAAGGTACTACTCCCATACATATTTTTCCATACTAAGAATTTGGACACACTACTTGTCTCGCATACACGTTTTAGCCTACTACATAGTAGGCAAGTAGGCGATTTTGGACACAGCCTATGTGAGCGCTATCAGAACAGTCAGACCATAATTTTTCTTTTAATTTATGTCTCATGTAAACCATCAACATAAAGACTCAAAATTGGATATTAAAGTCTTTAATGTGAACTTAAAGCCCTAAGTCCCTTTCAGACATCCACTGCATTAATGTGAAGGCATCTGAACGTGTCGGCGTCATGTCTGATTGAACAACTTGGTCCCTTTTTGCAACAGCAATCTTACATTTACATATCACCTTCTACATGGCACAAGTCTGAACTCCATGGAGTCTCTTTAACAGATAAACACAAGATTAGGTCTGAATGACAGGAAGCTGTTGCTGTCACAGTTTGATGAAGCCAGCAATGCTACATATCTGAAATGGCTAACCAACGGAATTTCAATTTGAGTATGTTGATACAGAAGTCATGAATGGGACTACATTCAGCACAGAAGCTGATGGAGTAGTGTGACATTCAATTCAATGTTTCCCACTTATTTAGTGACAAACCTGTTCCCTGGTGAGCTTTATTACTGTTAAGTGTTTTGAAAGCAACTAAAAATTGTCTGATGGTGTTCCTTACAGATTGTTCTCCATTTTGAAATCCAGTCAGGGAGTTCTGTCCTTGTGGAGATAGAAAGTCTTTGACTGCATCTTGTATGAGAGGACAACACTGCTTCAGGCCATGTGGAGTAAAACTGTAGTAGCGCATGTTGACCAGGGAAGGAGACAGTTTAGCTATAATGCCCTATCAAAAATGAACAACCATTTTTGACAGTCCATGAATCATAATTGCTCTGTACTCGTAATATTAGATGCTGTGACATGACTGTGGTTGTCTCCTATAAAGCCAAATGTGATTTGTTGCCTGTATTAATGTAAAATATATTTTCTTTGGTACAAACTTTGGGCTTTTTCTTCATGTCCAACTCTAAAATACTGCATGTCCAAATTTGTGATAACTAGACCGGTATTACATATACTATATAATGATGAAACTCTAGTAGTTGAATGAGTTCAATCAGGACTTGATGTAAATAATTGACTGTAGCAATCATATAATCAAAGCATCCCAAGACATGAGTTTACTAAATTTAAAAATGATTTGGTCATTGGTGATCATGTGTAGCGGAGTTATAATTCCATTTGCCATAACCCAAATAATTTGTTGCAATGGCATTTTATTTTGTTACTCCCTCCAGAAGTGAGATGTGTGTGGTGGTAATAGATTGGGGTGCCCCTGCAAACTTGAGGGGGTGCAGCCCGTGCTGCTTCCTTATTTATAATAAGGAAGCGTGGTTCAATTGGCGCCAGTCTGCCATACACTCTCATGGAGGTAAGTTGCGTTCGCATCATTGCTGCTATACTAGCATAGCATGAATATTGGTACCTAAGTCTAAAACTGTTTTTGTTCCCTTTTAGTTAATTTGAGTGCAACGGAGCTAAAGCTGTTCTTGTTATGTTGTCTTCTGTACCAGGTATTATGCATTTTAATTTATTTTATACACAGGCCAGTCTGCCATACACTCTCACGGAGTTAATTTGAATGCAA